CAAATGCACTCGGGCCTCGCCCTCTTCATCGAAATCCTCGTCTTCGTCATAATCCAGACGCTGTACTACTCCAGATCTGATCATACGATTGTGTTCCCAAGCCTGATTGTCCTTGTGCACTTGAACTGCGCGTGCCGTCAACCGATGCTTATTTCGTTTCCGGCGCTCAGCTAACTGGCGTTCCTTTTTAGCAGCGTATTCTTCCGGTATATCTGTAAATAACGTACATTTTGTGTTGGTAACACTTAGCACATAAAAGTCATTCAGCTGATGCTGGGAATTCAACTGCAAAGTGTGAAACAAATCGTGCCCCTCGGATGTTATGAATCAAGTACTATCTGTGAGTGACTAAGATATTAGGAATGTGAAAAAGTAAAGATACGATTACTTGACATTCACGCTCAGAATCCCGTTTCTTTGGTAGTCTTGGTCTGAAATGTAAACAATCGAGCCGAACACTACTAGAGGCACCTCCAGATTACAGGTAGAACAGTGGTCACACCAGTTATTTACCGCGAATAAGGGATCTACATCTAAATGAGCGATCGTGGACCATTCAACAGTTCCAGGTCGCGATGAGACCCCGCCTAGAAACAAGCTGTCCACAAAAAAGAAGCAGGAATCCGTGAACAGCAACGTGATGTACGAGAACGTGGTTCACCACCAAATAAAGCCACTGACTTATGCCTATTAAGATCAACTTGAACTTCGACGAACATCACCCAAAAGATCTATGACCAGCTCGATTGGTGAATGGTTCCTGGCGCGCAAACAAATTGTTATTCGGCAGGAAGTACTTAGTTGTGTGCACGGGGTACACATGCCAACTCGAACGAAGTCCAGCGACGGTGTGAGGTAAAATTTTAATTCATGCATTATTTACGTCCTTGCAAAGCACCTTGTGTTCCTCTATCGCATGAGCTGTGGAAACATAGTGACTGGAAGCTTCGATCCACAAGACCACATGCACGTCACTTGTTAGAATGTGAGAATTCTCCTTGGCGTCCACAGCCGAACTTTCGGTGTACACAGTAAGCAATCCCCAAATAGACACCCCCATTTTGGGTTGTTCCTCTGTCAATCGCCTGCACACGGTAGGTAAATGTCCCTGGAGTAGACAACGCTGACACAACTATCACTGGCTCCTGACAATCAATGGCCCTTATAGCCAGATGCTTTGTGACATCGTGGAAATTGGAGCTTCTAATAGACCTCCTCTGTTAAAGGTGGTTCGGGTGAGATAAGCCACGAGGTGAGCAGTGGTGGTTAAGCGGTATTGGTCACCATCACATCGCATCCGACGTTGTGCGTTCAAAGTAAATACTAGTACCTATCGATATTTCCATATAGCATACAACAGCCCATAGGGTGACCAGTAACAGCTTCCGGAGAACGTCTTGTACTGTTCGGCGTTCAAAAAAAAGAATTACGAAAATGAAGGAAGAGGACGTGAGTATTCTTAACCACGGACCAACCACCTTGGGAAAATGTCTACAGTGTGGATGACTTCGCTCTGAAACAAGTGGCTAGAATAGTGTTTCGACTGCATCTTTGTAAGCACTGGCTGGCTCAATCATGTGGTGTAGAAAATTGACTATTTAGGGTAAAGAATAAAGATAGACTGTCGGTGTTTGAACACCGCTGTCTACGCAGTATTGTACGAGTCTGGTGGGACAGTCGGACGAGCAATGCTGAGGTTAGACGAGGACACTTAGATACTCGCGGTTACCTGTTGGGGCAAGAAGTTGATCTCTATAGATTAAGTTGGTTAGGACATGTGTTGCGCCATCACGACGAGTGCACCTTGACGTGGTGTGA